TAGAGGCTCGTGGTAGTGTGTAACACTACGGGCTGCATAATGCAAAGAAAGCCTTTTACGATGAAATTGCCGCCGAAAAGTTGAAAATTGTGTTCATTACTTCACGTTCCGTAACTCATATTGGGCGAAGCGGATCTGCTCACATAGTTAACGCAAGGGCAACGTGTACATACATACTGACTACAGCGGTTAGTTATCGACGGGAGTGTGCTTATTACACTCATTCTTAAAGACCGTTGTCGGGAAGGGCAATAACTGAGCAACGCTTATTCTACTGCACCAGGTAGACTCGACTCAAAACGCTGTTGTGGTGAAAATTTTTCACTGAAAAGCCAAGAAAATCATCGCAATTTTTGCCAACATGAAAAAAATTACATCGATCAGTCGAGATGGTCTCTTCACGCAGCTATCTTGACGATCCTCGTATTATTATAATCATCCCGAGCAGCCTCTATCACATCTTTGTCGAGGGAACCTGTAGAAGTTCAAGGCCTATCTATTTTACTACAACTACTACCTTGACGTGGGTAAGCGGTCCACTGTGGTTCGTTGGTGAAGAGCCTCACAGCTTGAAGACAGGGGCTCTCCTCAGAGACGCAGAATCTGTGCCAGATTCCGGGAGGAAGAATCTATAGGGACGCTTACACAGAGAGAGTTCGAACTGACTTACAATCAGCGCGCCACTACCAATTTTAATCCTGATCCACTTATCATCCGGATCGCGGATATCGAAGTACCTACCTCGTATTTGGCGTCGCTATATAACTTCTGTTACTACTACTACTACTACTACTACTACTACTACTACTACTACTACTACTACTACTACTACTACCTCCGCAGGTCGGCCTACGAGCAGTCTCAGCCAAGTGATTCAACCCGGGAGCAGGGTGGCTAAAGTAAGGTGCCGCCAGACCGTGAAATATTTCACTTGAAATATTACTGAATTTTTCAGAAATTTTCTGAAAAATTTGAAATATTTCTCAATTTTTTCCAAAACTACATTTTGGGTGACATTCAATCACCTTTATCAGCTCCATGTATGACGGCAACAGTATGCGAGACCATGAGATGATCATATTATGATCATCGCAGTATGCATGTATTTTCTCAAGGATTTTACAAAATCTGGGAATGTCGACTGGTAATTGACGGTGCAAATCTTTTTATCAGCGAGGGACCGCAAGACCGTGTTTAATTGAGACCCCTTTTACTTACCCTCCCTAACTCGCGGAAATGCGGATAAGTACATCATAATTCTTCGCCGAAGT